TCACATTAAAAAAAAATCGCAGGCAAATGTCAACGGTTCCAGTTTTAAATCAATGAAGTTTGACTCACTGCCAAAAAGATTTTTAATCTTAAAGTGTTACCTACACTCACTTTTTTTCTGTTTCACTCCATCTCCTATTTAGGAATACTAAAAAAATTGTTTTATTATAATAGCCGTATAAATGGTAATTGCAGATCATTCTCTTAAATATAACTGTAGTAAGAAATAACCTGTAGCCCCGATGGCGAACCAGCCTGAGGAGGCAAAGAGGACAAAGTGATTTGCCCAATGTCATATAGCCAAATGATAGAATGGAAAAGAAAATACAACCTGATTTAATCAGGAGTCAGCACTGTAAATAAGAGGTAAGGGGCAGTAAGATTTTTCTCAGTACACCTTAAAACATAAGGAGCTAAGTTCACGTGTATGAGGAGGAAAGAATAAGTGAACAGAATGTATAAACAGTAATGCCCCATGAAATTTTATTTTAAGATTATTTTTAAATTCCAGGTCCTGTAAAAGTCTGTAAGGACCTGAAAAAGTCCATTTGCTAAATGTCCTCTTTAGCAAATAAATTCTTTGCATTTCTTCACATTAAGCAGCCTTCTTTTTTCCCAGAGTTTTGTATCATGAGAACGACTAAACTGCCTCCCTCAGTAAAGCTGCACTTGTAAAAGTAAGTGTTCATAAACCGAGGTCTTCCTAACCGACCCTGAGCAGTTGGTGAGATGGCTCATACTAGGAAGCAGGAGGCAGGATGCAGTTTACAGATCTAGGACAACATAGTTAATGGAATCATTTCGGGCACATTCACTGACAGTTCAAATATATATAACTGCATAAGTTATTTGTATGTTTCAGATTAAAAAAAAAAACTTTAGAACTATTTTCAACAGTATTTCCTGTTAAAATACTTTCAACATTTATTTTTGCAATTGAATGAAGAAGCAGCTTAGTAGTTATAGGAAAGATGTTCAAGAAATGGCAGGCAGCAGGGAATAGAGTACTGATTTTTCTCAGATGAAGTGATTATTAGCACTGAGGAGACAATCAGGAAACATGAAGAGTCAGCATCTTAGCTGCTGTGTCTTGAAAACAAGGACAAAACCCCATCGAGTTCCAGGTATAATGGAATATGGAACATGATGCCAAGGGGAAAAAAAAAACAAAACAACAAAACTTAGATACGGAATTGTAACAGCATCTAAGATGGACTGAGACACTATGAGGTTAATAAATAAAAAATCCCACACCAGGTCTGCATGAGCAATCAGGTCACCAAAGGACAGAGAGAAAAGTGTCTTCTTTTGTACATATATATATATTTTTTCATATATGTGTATGTAATGCCCAAAGCATATGGACACCTAGATGCTATCTGCTGTGTGATATACATAGCAGTGCTGTCAAATAAATTAGGCACAGCCAGAATTCAGTATGTGTCTTTATAACGGTTTCGTGTTACTGAAGGAGACTAAGGACGTGCCTTCAGCTTTTGTATCTACTCAATCAATTTTGGTTATTAATAAATAACTGAGTTCCTTTTCTTTAAACTCTGGCTCTTTGTTGGTGAGCCTTGTTTTCTTTAAAACAGTTCCCTGTGTTAACCGTTTACCTGAAACCGAAGGGGAGATGGGGAAACGCCCAACTCCTTGGATTAGTCTTTTCCTAAGGAAGACCTTAGCTCTTCAAACCTGGCCTCCACTGCCCTATCCTAACCCACCATTAAGCCATGGTATTCTCCAAAGCTGCCGACCTCATTCTGCCTGTGAACCACTGCCAGGTCTGGAGTGCTCCTTTTCCCCTCGGACACCGTCCTTCCCACCGCTGCCCAGGAGCGGGCAGGCCTGGGCACGTGCACATCCCAAACGATGCCGACCTGCTGGCGCTGCTCCTCATAACCTCCCCTGCCGCGGCGGGAAGCACAAAGGTTACGCACCAAAACACAGCGCTGGAGGTGGAAACTCTAGCCCATGGCAGGGCAATCTGTTCAAAGAGAGGGGAGCCAAAGCGTACTCCCATGGCACTCTGGTTACACATTTCGCAGCTGGCTTGTGCCGACCAAGGAGAGAGGCTAGGAAACAAACTATGGAATTACAAAGGTAAATATTTATTCTTGCGCATGAGGTGCCCCAGCCAAACTGGGCATGCCCCAAGGATTTTTCTTTAGGGGTTTTATACAAGGGTATGATATCAATCACCTAATTACCTACTATTTCTAATATTCCAGTGCGTATTTCTAATTATCCAATCATAAATGTGGTACAGCAAAGCAACTAGATTTTTGTAGGTCTTGCAGCAACAGCATCCACCAGCATCCTCATGGCCTATCTGTTAATCCACATGCTTCTGTCATCAACTTCTGCAAAGTTACCAGGCATCAGCAACTTGTGTTTCTCTTAGATATGGATCCCTCACTAAATTTTACAAAACGTTTCCTTATCTTAGTGGATCTCTTGGTCTTCTTAGGAGGGGCAGGCGACAGGTCTTGGGTCTCAAGATAATAAGGCGGCAATTGTACGCTAATAACGGTCTTGGCTCCTAATGGCTGCGTGCTCTCAGTAATTTACACCGCACTCCCATGCCGGCCGGCCCTGAGGTAGCAGGGCGAGTCAGGCGGCGG